CTTCGCCAGCGGTGTCTCGCGTTATGGTCTTCTCACGTGTGCTACGACTTGTTTTTTTCAGAGGCAGTGATTCCCTGTGGTTGCATGCTGATTTCTTTTTTTTTTTTCCTTTTCTTTTCTGTCTGTGTCACAGACAAGGGGTAACTATACTGTGTTCAGTGTGCATGAATCACATTACACACCCGCTCCTTTATTGGTAAAATTCAAAACTCTGGGGTAACCTTCCAGCTCCCTTGAACACTGAATTCTGAACTCTGGGCCACATCGGCTTTAAAACACTAAATCATTCCTTGTTTATCCGTACATGGACCTGGAATCCTTACCGAGTACGGAGTAGCGTTCCAGACATCGCCTGTCAAAACCGCGCAGTTGGGACCTCGGTAGACCTAGAGATTTTGTTCTTGAGTAAGAGACGACGGGAAAGATGGGTACCTACTACGTAGTACGACCTAGGTAGCTAGGTAGAAAGAAACGATGAGTTCATGGTCCTCGGCTGAAATACGGGACAAAGCCAGGAAGTGGGGTTCAGTTTGAACGCGTTGCCACCTGGTTCGGAGATCGTCCAACCAGGAAGTGAAAAGCTCATTCCCAGTTGATAGAACTCGATCCATGACTCAATAAACATCTTGACCATTCTTTCTTCGTCGTATTATTTTCAAAAATATCTCGAAATTTGATTATCTACTTGTTTGTTGATTTATTTGATTTATTCATTGGTTTATTTCTTCCCTTTTAAATTTATTTTAGTATTTGTTTCATAAATGAAATGCGCTCCGACAGGGTTACTCTAGATGATCTATTCTTATCAGACTGGGAAGATGGAGAACCAATGGTAAACAGGTTATGATGATGACACCACAGGGCAAAGACGAGGATCCACTCTTAACAGAGGAGGAGCTGAAAAAGGATCCCGAGCCTTAGTTTCATTAATCGCTCGGAAATCTGATCACCATTCATCCTCCTCCACTCACCAAGATTTGTAACCTTGAGAGGTGGGATCGTGCGCGCTAACCAGCCCCATCCGCTCCTGCTTAGACTCTTCGCTAAAGGATCGGGCATCTCGCTCCCTTGCATCGCTCCAGTCTCCCCCAGATACACGCTGATGGATTGTTTTTCGGTCCCTCAATTAGAGATTGTTTTTTTTTTTTTTTATGATTCTGCAGGGACGGTCAGGTAGGTCATCTATGCACTGGCTGATTAATGCCTGTTGTATGGTGTCGACTCGGAGGAGGTTCGTTCCAGCTCGGTGGGGAAGTGTTTTTCCCAGGTACCAGCCGTCCATCTCCACTCCGATCAGTTGGATATAAACTGCCTCGTACGGTCGTACCACACTTTCAAGGACGGGAGGCTGTAGACGGTGGATCTCTAGGTAGAGTGTTTATCACAAGCTTGTTGTCTCGTTTTTCAATATTTGATACTCCAAGGCAAACAAGGTATCTCGACGATCGATCTATTAGGGTGGTGTTACTCGATGTTGGACCCGAATGAAAGGATCGATGGTTTTTGATCATTTGGAGAACGGAGTCGTAGTCGTACTGCTATGTTTGTCAATATCATGACAATAATTATCAACTCCTTCATATCCCTTTGTAAACCCAAAGAGAGGAAAAGAAGAAAAGAAGAGAGAATCGATCTGTTTGCTCGGCGACCCTCCTAGCGTGAGGGACCACTTTTAGTATCTCGCTCCCTAACAACTGATCGAGTTTAGACCAGAACTAGAACCGCCTCGCCCGTGGGTGGAAGAAAAAGAAAGTGGTCGCCGTCCCACTCGCTCTTTGTTGATCGATGACCTCTTAATTAACTTGTTATTGTTGTTGTTGTTTTGCTTGCGCTTCTAGTCCTTTGCCTGTACTCACTCCTTCTTCCTTTCTTCTTACTTCTCAACTGGCTTCCCTGAGCCAGTCCTTTTTTCTTCTCCCTGTGGCTCTTTCGTCCAAGCTTCTGACTCGCCATTCTTCTCCATCATTTATCATCGCATTCCTTGATGACATTCTTTTCTTCGATCCCCCGTTCTTGATAGCTACCTAGCTCTCACGCGACCTTTTATCCCCCCCCCACCTCCCCAAACACACGCTGATCGCGACCCTTGAGCTCCGACTCGACCATCATACCAGACTGCGCAGTGCCAAATACTTCCATTCTGTCAAGTCGCTACCAACTAGATTATTCGGAGATGATTTCCTCCTAGACGCTTTCCACTTTGGACGTGTCGAATCTGCTGGTTCTCGTGCATGATAATGCAGATGGGACGTCAATTACCTGTAACATCGATGTTGCTAATCTAAGCTTCATGGTGCTTGATACTGTTCCCCGCGCCCCATGAGAATGGAGCATGTCTCAACTGTGAGTTCTCCCTCTTTTTCTTTTCGCATACAGAAGACCCGATGTCCTCAAACACACTATATCTTGGTTCGCAACTGACCTGATCCTGTCCAGCTGTGTGCGGTTAGCACCGTCGGTATTGCAGCAACCGGCTTCGCACTCGGTCGCGTAGAACAGAAATCCCCGCCATCGAGTCGGCTCCGAAATAAGATCCATCCGCAAGGCGGATGCGCGCCCGCAGCCACTGACACTGCCACCTTCCCCACGCTCAATACGTCGCGACCACGAACCCGGCACACCTCTGTCGCGGCGGATTTGGCGTCTCCCACAAATACCGGACCTCGCATCCACGATGATGTGGTCGGTCAAGGCTGTTCGGACGAACCATCACGGCCGAAATCATCTTTTGGGGGCATAAGATTACGGCGCCGCGGTCAAACTTTCTCGACCACGTTGTCGCAAGCCCCAAAGGATGACTTACCCGTTTCACATGACCGTCGGCCCTCGTCGTCATGGATCCGACGGCTCTCATTTCAGCCAGACAAGCGCCCGTCGTGCCAAAGTCCCGTCTTCCCGTCCTCCGACGGGCCCGCAAGTCCAGTATACTCGCGCCCTTCGAGCCAACGCCGGCCGCCCAACAAATTAGTCAAACGGCCCACTTTACAACAGCACAGTATTAATCCGTTGTTCGAAAGTGCGCCGTCTTCTCCGTTGTCTCCCACGTTTCACAGACCAGCGACGAGCTATCAGCGGTCGGGTCATCTCGGGCACAAGGCAACACACAGCTTAAACTTTGAACCGAGCTCTTTCGCCGATCCTCGGGTGCAGTTCACTACAGATGGTGCTCCACAGACGGCCGACTCCTGGCAGCCATACCTAAGAACTAGCCTCGGCGGATCCCTTGACAGGCTAACGCGCAGGTTCTCGACCAACACAAAACCTAGAGATCCGGGGCTGCGACGAATTATTCCCAGCTCCGACACAGCCCCAGCACTCCTCCTGGGCACCTCCGTTGCATCCAAGGAAATTTCTACCAGTGTCGAGCCAGAATGGCGTGCCCTTGGATCTCCGGTTCACTTCCGCAATCCATTCCAGCAGAGTGCTTCCGCTCAGGGGCCAGAGCCAGAGTCGCCTTGTGTGCCAAACCAAATTTCTCGTGGGCCGTTGGACTCCAACGATGAAGCAGACCTCCAACGCGAAGATACCAGTCCCGAGGCTGTAGGTGGTGGGGAGGCCGTCGACGTTTCTCTAAGCCGTCCAAAACGCAGGGCAGCCTCGACCCCTTTGCCCAACCAAGAAGAATTGGAAGGAGCCAACGTGGCATCCTCCGTCCACGAGAGGCGCAACGTTTCCCATCCAGCTGGCGTCCATGCTCGAACACCAACGGTTTCAGAAGCAGGTGACCCTTTTTCGTTGGAACTAAATGTCGTGGAGAGTAGACGCAAATTTGTCCCGTCCTATTCGCAGCCGGATATAGGCAACCTGCGGGAAAGTAGACAGCGTCCGATGACCTCGGATTCAGCCATTCCGTCCACACATCAAGGCTCAATGCGCCACCGACCTAAGCGTCATTCGATTGCGGCTTCTGAACCCACCTCCACCGTGATTGGTTCTGACGACACTCATGTTTTTACGTCAAGCGAGGAAGACGACACGGACTTTTTGAGTGATACCGCCTTCGACTCGATTCGCACTCACGTCACAAGCAGTAGCTCGGGACTCCACACTGCTCGTATCGAGTCCATCTTCGATAAGTCGATTCCGCCAGGCATTGCGGAGGACGCGTCAACGCCCCTTGGAAACCCGGACTCGTGTGATTTTTTCGCTCCCCAGCAACGCGAGAAGAGTCATTTTGACAAGGACGCCGACAAAGTACCCGCTCTGGTTTCGACCCGGCCCGCGCCTAATGAAATCAATATGTCCGAAGGAAACAGCGGGATCTCGTTCATCTCCGATCTAACAGACGACGAGGATACGCATAGTCTCATCGCTGATTTGCCAGGGGATACCATGGGTCAGGCTCTACCCGCAAGGGGCCCGCCGTTATCCTTGACCACCCATAATCTTGGTCAGGGCAAGGCTAAGCTCTTGCTCCATAATGAGGAACAAGAGACTCCCGTGGAGATGCAAGGTCACGCACAATATGGCTTCCCTGGGGCCACTAATGGGGCTCCCGGAAACACCGCGAGAATGAATATTTTCGATTGGTCTGAACAACCGAAACCCGACCGCGAAGCCTGCGGGCCTGACTGGCGGCCACGGACCGTTCACGGGAAACATGGACCGGAGTTCCGTGGGAGCCGAGCGCCGTCACGAAAAGTCCCAAACGCCCTACACCTCCGAAGCCAGAGCGTTCCCGTCTCGAGAGATATAGCAACTGCTCAAGACTCTCGACGAACCTCGGGGAAATATGGAACCTGGGGTTTGGGCAGCAAAGGAGTCAGCGAGGACTGGGACAACGACTTTGATTTCGATGAACCGGACGAAAGTAACACCAACGATAAAACTAGGCCCCGCAAAAACCTCTCCGAGAGTGTTATGGTAGTACCTCAGGCTATCATGGAACGACAAGCCAGTCTGCATGGACAATTCGGACAGGTTCAGGAACTGACTCTCCTCGTGGAAGAGCTCAAACGA